ATAAATGGACGCACTGTATGGGATAGAACGAAGAAATTAGATATATTAACGGGCAGTGAACAAGAAGATAGAATATCAAACGGTAGGAAAGATAGATCTGAAATTTATAAGATTGCTCAGATGTTTTTTTCGCATTCATTTGTTCAATAACTATTAATATTGAACGAGATGTCTTGAATAGATGAAGTACAGAATCTTAGTGCCAATTACATTGAGTTGTGTTGTAACTCATGATTCAGATGTATATGTGTATAGAAAGAAAAGGAGAAAAATATTTGATTCTTGACATGGTCTGATATGTGATTTGTGTTATCTGTAGACATACATAATTACCTAGAAGACAGCCTCTTCTTTGAACATTAGAAGTATGTCGTAATTGATCATATGCGATCGTTACAGAGAAATCTTTGTTGTTAAGCTTATCTCTAGATGTGTTATGATCCATATCCTCTTCAGATGTAAATTACTATTGTATAGAGGAAAATATTATTTTCTATCGAGTATTTTTCCACATGAAATTAATTTTTTGCATAATTTCATCATAGGTGTTGATCAGGAGATGCCACTTATACAAGGACTCTATCGCTTTGATCCATTACTTGAACAATGGGTTCAACAACCGCATATATCATTAATATCTGATGATACAAGAACTCCTTCAACAAATGATACATGTCTTCCACAACAATGTCAATTTTTAACATGGAATATTCTCTTTGATTATCATCATTCATCACTTATTTATACTAAAGAACGATATCAATCAATACTTCAGACACTTAAATCACTTCAACCTGATCTTATTTGTTTACAAGAAGTAACACGTACATTTCTTAATCTTCTTTTAAATGAAATGTGGTTACAAGAAAATAATTATTATATTATTATTAAACAAAGTATTATTAATAGTGAACAAAATAAATCATATGGACAATTAATACTTATGAAAAATTTTCGACCACGTTCATTTACTATTTGTCCACTTGATATATCTAAGAATAATGATAATACTACTGAGATAACAAATACAAACGCAACAAAAGAAATAATTATTGCTCGATTTGGTCTTAGTACAAAAGTAACAATTGATATTGTTAATCTTCATTTACATAGTAATCGATCTCGAAATGCAAATGATAAACGTTGTCAAACGTTAGAAAATCTTTTTAAACAATTTAATACAAAAAATTATATGTTAATTGGTGATTTTAATTTCGGAGATTATGATGTTAAAGAACAAAATATGCTTGAGAAATATTCAAATGATATACATGATCTATGGAAAGATACTTATGATATTGAACAAGTAAGATTTGTATTAATTCATATAAAATAATATATATTTTATTTAGAATCCCGGTTTTACATATGACCCATCACGAAATATTTGTGCTCGTATAACATCTGATACACAAATAAATCGTCGTTTTGATCGATATTTAATTCATACATTATATAATCTTTATTATTCTATTCAACATTTAAATATGATTGGTATTGATACAATTCCAATTGATCCAATGAATAATGATGATGATAAACGTATTAATCAATCTGATCATTATGGTTTACAATTACTTATTAATTTTCAAACAAGAACAATAAGTCATCGATCAGCACTTGTTGTATTACCAACAACAGAACATTGGCCATTAATTGAAGAATATCGTGAAAAATATGATCCATCATTTAATCGTTGGCCACCACATATAAATATTTTATGGCCTTTTTTTGATTTAAATGGTTGTGAAGATGATGAAGAAAATATTCTTGTACCATTAAGAATGTTACTTTCTCACTGTGAATCATTTAATGCTGAAGTCAACCAAATTGATACATTTATTGAAAATAATATCTCTTTTATGAAATTAAATGAAAAATCACAAGATAATGTTAAAAATTTATATGAACAAATTAAAAATCTATTTCCACAATGTTGTACAAATAAACGTAATAGTTATAATCCGCATATGACTATAGCACAATTTGAGAATGAAGAGCAACGAAATCAAGCACAATCAACATTGAGTAGGTGTTATAATGAAGCTTCCGATTTTTTTTTCGAGAATACTGATGCACAAAGATTTGATATTATAATACTTTGAAGTTAGTGCAATGTTTCAACTTGCGGGTGGGGAGTGCCCATTCAAAAAATGAGGCGTAGATAAAGCACTGATAGGCGGCGCCCACGCGATAGAGTACGGTGGTTCCAAAAATTACCCGGAATCGGACTTAAACCGCAGTTCCGGTTCCATTTTTTGGGAACCACCGTACTCTACCACTCGACGTATCGATTCGCTCACCCAAATAGCGAGATTTAGACAGAGCACTAATATGCGGTGCGCACCCGACATATCGATTCGCACATTCTAAAAAACAAGTCTGTATAGTGTATCTTCAATAGCATGTTTGTTTATTTTAGCTTTGAATAAACCATTTGAATTTCCTGTTCAATATCTTTACATTTTACAACGATCATTGGATGATGATACAACATCATTTCAAATTACATATCAATTACCATTAGGATCTGTTTTACAACCATTACATTCACAACAACTGAATAGTTTTCATCCTAAATTACAACAATTCTTTCAAATGATGAGTCTATATGAAAATGAACAATCGTATAATCGAAAACAAGATAAACTTAATAAACTTGCATCTTGTTTTGATCAAATATTCAATAAAGATTCATTACATTGTTTTACACATGAATTTCTTTCATATGGAAGTTTTCGTATTGTAAGAATATAAAATAATTAATTATTAAGTAAACAAGATCGTTTTAATTTTATTTTAGGGTATCAATGGACAAGATCTTGATACAGTATTTGTATTGAATGAAATCAAATCAAATGATGAAAAGACAAATTTTGATGAAACATTACTTGAAATGAAAAATAAACCAAATGGAATGAGTAATCATATAGTTAATTTACTTGAAATGCAGATAAATGGATGTTTGAAAGATGAAATATTTTACTCTCGAAAGATCGAAGCATTATTTCCAATAATATTAATAGTATTTAATGACATGACAAAAGTAGAAATATCTGTGCAAGTTCCAACAAATAAAGAACAACATGGTGATGAGAAAAGATCTGAAAATGCTTCGAATTACGATAAATATATAAATGGGGTAAGAACTACAGAATTATTATTCGCAGAATATAAATTTTTGAGGAGCCATCTGATGTTTCCATAGTAGATCTTAACATGAATGATACTATATTTATTTTTTCCAGGTACATGATATTGAACATTTACTTGTACATGTTCGTTCTCCACCAATCTTTCAACACCTTCTTACATTTATTCGTAATTGGGCTCAACATGTCGGTATCTACGGACAAGCATTTGGTTATTTAGGTGGTTATTCATGGGCTGTTCTATGTGCATATATTTGTCGTTCATTTCTATCATCTATCAAATCTCTTTCAACAATCGAACAATTTTCCATCGATGACTTCTTTTCCTTAGTTGAAAAATTCTTTTCTACATATGCAAACTTTAATTGGACATCAGAAGTAGTTCGTCTTCATTCCACATCATACAAACAAACGACACATTCAGAACAAAAATCAATGCATAATCGTGGTACAATGCGTATTCTATCTCCTATTTCACCGTATAATAATACCGGACGTACGACAACTAATTCTACTCGTGATCTTATTATACAAGAATTTCAACGTGTTGTCGATCTACTCAACAGAGTTAATACAATAACAACTAAAGATAAAGCTAATGCATTAAAATTAATACTTGAATTAAATAATGATTTTCCAAATCAAACAATTCAATCGCTTCTTCAGCTAACATTATCATGTGAGAATGTAAATGATCTTGATGAATGGATTGGTTGGTTAAAATCTCGTTTAGCTCATTTTATGAATGGTATGGAAAATGAATGTCATTTAATAATTCAAACACAAAATTCAATTGAATATCAATCAAATAATACTGAAGCACTTTATTCAATCGGTTTTCAACTTAATGAAGAATTAATCAGTGAAAAGCGAAATTTTACTTATTTCTTAAACAAACTTCTCGATCAATTTAATCAATATCCTAATCGAAAGGAAACAATGAAAATTAGTTATAAATTAATTGGCATACATGATTGGAAACTCGCACGAATGCAACCGAAACCACAAAGAACACGAAAATAGATAAATTGCATTTGTTTTTATTGTTAAATAAAATAATTAAATAATATCTATTATACACTTCAGAGATTGTTTGGGAATCGAAGATGAGATAGTGTTTGAAAACATGCTTTTCAATTCAAAGAGAATAGAAAATGTTTAAAAAAAGAAGCTTGAATATTTCCAAGAAAATGAGATAATATTATTAAATCACTTACATCAATAAGTATCCGGAAATAGAATATGGTTTCAATAAAAAAAATCTTATATATTCTGATTGATAGTTGAAGTCTATTGGACATATATTACTTCAATCCTCTTATCTTGTAATACTCTTCCGATTCGATTCATGCATTTTTTAACTATTAAATTATGTATAAAAATCAATGATTTTCAAAGAAAGTGGAAAATCATACTATTATTGGAAACGATAAAGTTGATCGGCTAAAATATAAAAGAGTGTAATTACATTTTAATTTCGCGGAAACTGACTCGAGAAAAGAATGATTTATTTTCTCTATAATTACAGTCGTTTTCTTTTATTTTGACATGTTTTTGAATAATTCAAATTTACATCTGATCAAATGAACTAACTATAAACGATCGATTTTAGAAATTCAAACTTTTCTTATTGTAGAATAAACATCAATATTGTAATTCTACTTCTTCGTTAAAATAATATTCTTTTCTTTTTCTTTTTGTATTCTTTTATTATAATTGTAAAGAAAAGGTTGAAGAGCAATTGTTTACAATTGTAGTGAAGTAAGAATAATAAAACAACGAGTTTCGTTGAAGTGGTTAGCAACGAACGTATAGTGTCAGTTACATTCGTATCAAATAGAAGAACAAATGGTAAGGACAAATTTTGTACTAAATGAAACTATTTTTATATAATAGACGGATAATGAAACTCCACGTTCCAATGATAATGATTATTCTAATGAACAAATGAATGAAGTATTACGTATGTTTAGTTCTCTTTTTTTCTTTAAATTAAATTAATTTCGTTTTTATTTGAAATTAAATTTAAAGAACAAATGAATGAATTATTTTCAAGATTTAAAGATGAATCTGATCTTGATACTATTCATATTAATCGTTTATTAGAAGTATTACAAGCATTCGGTAGAAATCCATCACAATCAGATTGTGATAAACGAATTCATGAACTTGAAGATGATGGTAAGAAATTTTAGTTAACATGTATATACATGATTATTTTCGTATTATAGAAAAATTTGAATTAACATTTGAAGATTTTTTACAAATACTTGAAGAATCGTGGACATTAATTAATAATGATCGAAATATTCTTCGTAAAGCATTTGCAAAATTTGATCTTTCAAATGAAGGTTCAATTGATATTGAACAATTTCGAACAATAATGCGTACACTTGGTGAACCTTTATCTGATGATGAAATTGATGAACTTGTTCAATTAGGTTTAAATGATAAACATAAAAAAATAGATATTGAATGTAAAAATCTTCTTTTTATACCATTAGCAATTCATTATTTTGTTTTTTTAGATCTACTCGATCAATTACTTGGAAATGAAGAATGATAAACGTATGATTTTATTATATATATATAGTTTGTTTAATAACAAAATGAAATTTAATAAAAATATAGATATAACAATATATCTGGCATTGAGCAATGCTTTAAACATCATGAAACAATGTTTTAGGATCAGTTTTTGAAAAATTTGTTGTATTCGTAACTGGACATAAATAATAGAAATCCGATTGAAATTCATCAGTTATTATGGATGATGTGGAATCATTTTCATATTGTTCAAAATTTCTTTCATCAGAAAGACCACTTGATATTGGCATATGATCTGTCCATGAATGATTGAGAATTTCACGAAGTATTGAATTACTTTGATTGGTATTATCATAGGAATTTGGAGTTGATTGAAATGGATCCGATGTATCTTTTGGTATAGTCCATGATGCTGAACCTAAACCGGTTGAACTGGATGATTCAACTGATGTAGTTGTTGTTGGACTTGATAATGAAAACTAGAAATTGAAAAAAGATTCTACAATTTTCTTAAAAATTTTCAAAATATATTTATTAACCAATTCAGCATGTAATAACTCTTCAACATGAAGTTTACTTGAGCAACTCGATGTACTTTCTTGTTTATCCTTAAATGAAAACAAAACCTTCGTATTTATATAATAAATTTGTCTCTTTTTTTACTTGTTGATTATTAGATGATAAATTTAATATTTCAAGTTCTGAATACCAATCAAGTTCTCCTTCTTCTTCTTCAATTAGACTATCACTATTATCCATTTTTTCTATTTGATTTTCATCATAATCAAAATTATAATCATCAATTTGAAATCGATTTTCATCCATATGACATACATTATTAACTATTTCATCATCATTACTATCAACCCAAGCACGTAATTGCGAGTCTGAAGCATATGTTGTTATCATATAAAATTCCATTGAATAATCACGTATTGTATCTAAATGATAGACATTATGATAAATTTCGTTATCTTTTGTACAAATTTTTTGATAAATATCAGAATCAGATAATATTCGTCGATAAAATATCATCCGACCAAGCCGTGCTGGAAATATTAGACGATGTACTAAAGATTTATGTGATGATGATTTTGCTTTTGATAACAATTGATTATCTTGAACAGTTAACTTATCATTTGTTAAAAGAAAATATCCATTTTTCGTATTAGTTTCTTTATTTTCTTGTTCAATTGAACCATTACCATATGCTGAATCGACAGATGTTTCAGTTTTTATTGGAGTTATTAGTGGTATGTCACTTTCTGATGATTGATCTTGTATATGATCATTCTTTTTTGTTGAATTAATCGATGCATCTAAATTATAATAATTAAGATTTATGCAAAAATATTAAATTAATTTTTTATTAAATAAAAATTGCAATATTCCTTTCGATAAATTATTAGAAGAAAATTAGATTTCATTGTCAGATTTGACTTACTTTTTTGAAGTAATTTTTGAATATAATAATGTTCATTAAGACTATCTTCTGAAAAATCTCTGTTAATACTTATAACATTAGAAGATGAATCTGAACATTCTTCTTTTTTTTCTATTGGTTTATTATCAGCAATTGATTCAAATGATGATGGTGTTAAAGTTGAAAGTGATTCATTTGTTTGATATATTATTTCATTTGGTACTGTTGGTGGTATTTTTGGTGTTAAATGACACGAGAATAATTTTAATTCTTGACTACGAACAGGTCGAACTACTTTTATTTTATCTTTACGAAATAATGATTGTTGAATATTATTAACTACAGGTGATGGTGTAACAATTGTTGATTTTTTAGATGTCGTAGTAGTTTTTTGTCGTTCAGCCATCAATACATCAAGATCAGAAACGCGTGCTGATTGTTGATTGACAATTGGTTTACGTGTCTTAATACTATTTGTAGTTGGTTTTGTGGCAGTTAGATTGGGTTTATTAACAATCAATGTTTTTTTTGTAGGACGTACTGGCGCTGTTGTTATTGTTGTTGTTGTTGTTGTTGCTATTGTCCCAGCAGATCGTGGTGTTTCGGATGATTTCGCTAATGTATATCGAGGTCGAACTGATTTATTAGTTATGGAAGATGATGAAACTGTCTTTTGATTTATAGTTGAAGGAGCAGAAGGACGTTGTCGAATATTTGTTGTTTGTGGACGAATTGTAGTTGTTGGAACCTATTAAATAAAGTTATTATGCAAAAAAAAATTCTTATTAGATTTTTCTTACTCGACTTGGTTTAGATATGGATGTTATCGGTATGTTTTTACCAGTAGATGATGTATGATGTGTTGTTTGTGTTGATAATCTTTCATGGTTAGGATACGTAGTACGTGTTTGTTGTTGACTTGAGATATTTTTATTAAACGTTACCGATGATTGTTGTTTACGAGGAGATGCATTTACATCATCAATAGGTACTATATTAATACCTGGTAAACGACGATTCTCATGTAATGTTTTTTCTTTATTCATAAGAAAATATATTCTATTCGATAAACCAGTTGTGGATGATGATGATGATGATTTATCAGATTTAGATTTAACAGTAGCCACTGTTGGTGATTGATTATTGAATACTGTAAATATATAGAAAAGAAAAGATTATTACTAAATATATAAACTGACGAAAGAATGTATAATTTAATTAAGCATGTAATTTACTATTCGAAATCTATATATTTATAGACAATTTTTTCTATTTTATATCTAATAATAAAATAGAATGTGCATCTATTCGTTAGACTAATTGAATCTTAATATAAATTTTTATTAATTATTTTTACATGAGAATTTCAAATACTTTGTCTTTTTCTGTTTAAACAATAGAATATAGATTAGATAAAATTATTAATTCTATAGAATAAATGTTTTTACAATTTATAACTCAGATCAACTATATTAAATATTTTTGATTTGTCATGTTGACATATTCCGGTTTAGTACTTATTTTTTTATTTTTAGATTAGTAAAAACTATTTTTTTTCTTTATTATTGAAATTTCGAGGAAAAGTATTTGAATGAAATGTTAATACATTTATCGATTGATATTCTGATCATAATAAGAAAGAATTGTGTTTTATGAATGATGATGTAGATAGAATAATAAATGAAGATAAAGATGCTTTTATAGTTATATTTATTCACTTAAATATTATGTGTCAAGTATTATAAAAAAAAGATTGTCATTAATTCGATGTAGAAAATATCTATAAATCTATTTTTTAGAGAAAAAAATAATATTGACAGATGTCACAAGTGTAAAAATTGCTCATAATGTTCTATAGATCTAATAATTCAAATCCTTCATAGTAGAAAAAGAAAAAACCTCTACTAAGACTGAAGTTTTACTTCCCTCTATCGGAAGTTTTCTAGTATTTCAAAAACTAAAATCAAATTATCATTCCTAAAATAGTAACATATATATATATACAATTATAATGAAAGTTATTCTTCTTACATTATCAATTGTTTTTTCATATACTCAATAAAAACCGATGTCATTTGCTATTTTTAGATAATTTTCTATTAAACGTTTTTTTTTATCTTAATTTGATAAAAGTATATAGAATGGTTATAAATAATCTGCAATAATATTATCTTACCGTTTCCGTATGTTGGGTTTTTTTTCTTCTTCTTTTTGTTAATGTGAAACTACTCAATTAATAAGCGCACGTGTTTTTTTGTCTTAGAAGCTGCCGCTTTATGGTTGCCGGCAGCATATTTTTTTCTCTTTACGGAAAAACATAAGAGTTTGCTTTCTTCATTTCTCGTCCTTTTTTTTCCTCTTATAGGCGCTTTCTCTTTCTCGTTCTGGAATATCTAATTAGACATGTGTATGATAGAAAAATGAAGGGAAAAAAATTGCATCATAACTTGTTCTCCTGCGGGAATAATAGAGTGCCTACCCAATGAATGATTTGTTGTTTGCTGATCTTGTTCGCTAACATTCATCAATCGTTGATGAAGCCATGTGGTTTGATCATTATTAGTACATCGACTATCATCCTATTAGCAAGGCAAAAAAAAAGAGAAAGACAAGAAATATTATTATGCAGATAGTTCATCATAAAAATACAAGTTCATCTGAAGAAATATCACATATATTATTTTGAGTATGATGATTTGTTTCAGTCTGGAACAAAAAACGGAAAAGGAATGTAATTTATAGCTTTTCTAACATGAAATAAAAGGAAAAAGAAATGTTAATATACCTGTTGTTGTTTCTTCCTCCACTGAGCCACATCATTTTTATTATACCGTTCGGTACGTTCTTTGCTCAATTCCTACGAATAAAATTAATATAGTTAATATATTATTATTATTATTATATATTGATTAGTTTCATTAATTTTCTTTTTTTTTGCTATTGAATATTCCTACCTGACGTGTTGAAGGATCATGACATGGTAATATACAGTGTCCAAAAAGATCTTGAAGTCGTCGTCGCCTATGTTGTCTCGTCATGTTTATTCTCGTTTTTCTTTTATTTGACTATGATAATCATCACCTTTTTTTATTTCAGTTTTATAAAAGCGATATAAAAAAAGAAGAAATGTTTCGTCTGCTCTTATTCTCTTTTATTCCAAATATTATATATTAATGTAATACTTGCGGTATAAGGATAAGAAAAAAACAGAATATGAAATTTTAGATGTTTTATACATCTATTCTCAAATCCAGTCAATGCAAAAATAAATGTTTAACATATAAAAGAATTTCTGATGATATTCGTTCTTTTAATGGACAAAAATAAAAGTGTGGCAGAGATGAGTACACAATTCAAAGTGTTCTAGCTACTAGTATGCATCAATTAGGCAAAAAAAACATTTGTGATAAGATGTATAAGGCACTTGTCTTTTACTTTTCATGTGAGTAGAAAAGAACAGAAGAACATATATGTATGCTAAGGTTACAATGAAGAACATTAACAAAGTTCTTCAGATCAATAGTTAACTTGTATTTAAATGACAATCTAAGTCTTTCTTTCTTTTTTTTTGTTGTTACAGAAGAAAAGGATAGGAAAAATATGTCTATAAGAAGTATACCTGTTGAGTTAAGAGTATTTTCATAATTAAATCCGTTATTGATCGTATACATGTTTCATTTTGTATTTGATAAGTTAGATAAATTTCAAGTAATTGATGATTTTCATTTTCAAGATTTTCAATACGTTTTAATAAAAAATTTTGTTCATCATTTATCCATTGTTGATACTTAAAATATAGAAGCAAATTATTTTTTTGTTGTTTTTAAAATAATTATTTACTCTTTCATCTAATTTATCGATACGAGCTTTTAATAAATTATTATCATTTAATAATAAATCAGTTGTATGACGCAGGTTTTTGAACTAGAATTATATGAATATTAAAGATTTATTCTCATAGAATATTCTTTCTTACTTCATCATCAATTAATAAATGACTTTGACATATATTTCGCTTAGTTGAACATTGCAATCGATCTTTCCAATGACGAAATGTTGAACTCATTGCATAAAACCAATTGATCTAATACATAATATAATCAGTTATGAAATGAATAAGATAATGTAAGAGTAGATCTATTTTTAACGCTAGTCATTGCTCTATAGTATTTATTTGTCTTATAAATGCGTACTACTTGCCTTCGGGTCAATAAGTCAGACCGATGTCGCTGTTCACCGATCAAATTTGAAGAAATATATACACTCGAATATTTACTTGAGTAAACGAAAAACGTTTCTCTTTTCGTTCTCTGCGATTACCCATTCATTTCACTTGAAAAGAATAAAAGAATCAATCAAAAAGAAACGAGACATATAGACCAATGTCAAAGATATAGTTGATGAAAATAATCTCCAACTTATTAAATAGAATTCACTTACATTATTATTATTGTTTATTTCTGATTCTATCTTGTCACTTATCTAACTACCATCTGCGTATGACTTATTTATTCTTCCCACGACATTATAAATCCTTTATTTGACATTTGAAAAAAAAAGAAATGTGCTGGATATAAAGAAGAAAAAGAAAAGTGTATTGAATTTCAACATAAGTACACATAACGAATCATTCGTTCTTTTGTACGCATGCATATTCACTACATTTATCCAATTGATTCATACAACTTAAATCTAACTAGATGTGTAGATACTTCAATGTTTAAATGCCGTTACTCAAATACTTCGAAGGATTTATAAGAAGAAAAAAAAACTTCTTTTAATTTGAACCAATGAAATAATTTCATCAAAGGCTTGATTAATAAATTATTATACAAACATATAAAAGTATAATTAGACTTACGATAGTAAAATAAATGAATTTATTTATATTTTCAATAAATAAAAATGTAGGCATAATAATAATAATATTGATTATAATTGTACATGTATCAGTACCCATAATTCTTATTTAAACACTCCATTTGTTTAAAATTGAATAATAGATAAAGACGTTAGTATGTCAAGAGGTTATAAAAAGCAGAATAAGAAAGACATTTGCCAATTTCTTGATTTGAGTTATTATAGAACAGAAATGAACAAACGATATAAGAGTTGTCTCAATGTTTTTTTGTTTGTTGTTTCATCAGCATCATTGGTTAGGGTATGTAGTAATAATGTTGAACAGACAGAGTAGGCGATAATGTTGAGACCATGATGACGAACAAAAGAACCGAGGAAAAGTAGTTAGCAGGAAAAGAGAAAAGGAAAAGAAAAAAGAATGCGTCGATTTTGCGTTCGTTTCTTCTTTAGATATATAACAACATCAATTATCTGTTTCTTTTTTCTATGTAGCTATATCACATTGCTTTGTATTATGATCGATGAAAATACGGGCAGCTATTAGAATGTTCCGAACTAAGAAAAAAAAAGTATAAATTAGAATTATAATAATAAATCTTCTCAGGTTTTATAAGGTAGGCAAATCTATCATGATTGCATGTCTAGACAATATTAACTGGCATCTATTGATGAACTCTATTTGACAGTAGGTAATTCTTAAGATTTGAATGCTCGGTCGGCTTTATATATATATAACGCTTGAACTATATCAAATAGATTAGGTCAATGAATAATTTTTATTTCTTTCTTTTATGTAACAGGCAATATGAATTATTTTATAAGTGTCATTAGATTTTGATATGAGAAAAAAATTAAATATTTATTCAAAAATAAACATCTGTATAAGCTAAGAACGTCTATTTTGATTGGTATTTTCTAAATATGGTTTGAATCGATTGAAAAAAATTCATTTATAAACAAACGATTAAACAGAACAAACATTATGTATATATGTAAATTTAATATACTTTGCAATATACAATCAAACGATGTCAATCAAATAATAGATTTTATGTCATTATGATGATGCCACTTTATATATGTCAGAATATATTTAGTTTTATGTAAACAAACTATTATTACTTATAAGTCATTGTACAATATCAAAAACTATTTTTCAAAGTCAGATAAATCGAATATATATATTTGATATAAAAAATGATTTATGATTTATTTAAAGTAGCGTATCCAGGATTTGACTGGTGGTATGGCAATGCCTTACGATTTTTGTTTAAATTCATCGACAATATAATAAAAAAATAAAGTATCTAGTAAGAAATTTTTCTTGGTGGCCTGACAATACCACGCGTTAGATACGCCACTAATTTACTTGATTGACAAAATAATTTTCTAGGTTTGATTTACATATTTAATTGTTTCTAAAATTAGTTTCCTCCTACATAAGTTCAAACAGTCTATAATCAACTATTGTCTTAAGAGAATCTATAGAAAAACAATTAATTATACCTAGCAATGCTAATCTATTTGATAATTTTAATAATATCTGTACATTAATCATATTTACGATACATATTTATGTATTGTAAATATCTTCATAGTTATCTTTGACATGAATTATTGCTTTCTGTTAGATGTAGATTTACATTTTTGTCTTATCTAGTCTTTTTCGCTATTTATTATAATAATTAATATTTTATATATTACTCTTGAAAAATTGAGAGAAACGCGAAGGTATAAATTGTGCCTAGACATAATATTTAGTATTAAATATTTTATTTTTAACATTAAAATTAAAAAAAAATAAAGTAAATATCGATAACTAAAACATATACAGATATATATGTGTATTTACAAGATATTCATAACATTAAATTCTTCGCCAATATTGAAACTAAAAATTTGATAGGAATAAGGTCAATATTTCATAAATGTATATGTTCTATCATGTTAATCGAAATATAGATTGCATTAATCCATGAGATACTCTATTTTGTGTTTCTGCTGCTCTTACTCTGTTTTCCATCATAGTCATTAACACTTGAAAATGTAGAATTTGTGCAGTAAGAATTTCCATCGATTTTATAGCTTCTCTTTCTTCAAATAAATAATTTAAATAACGCCAAAGTAATGTAGTATAAATGTCATAAGTTTTTTGTACAGCCATTTTATTATTATAATCTTCCCACCTATGAATACTGAATAGGAAAACAATAAGTGCAAGTTTTAATATTATGGGATATTCTACAAAACGATAGAGATGTCGACGTGTTCGAGACATTTGATTATGAAAGTCTTCACTGATCCAATTCGACATTAATATACCTGTTATTGGATTTTCATTAAAATTTTGTATGAAAATATCATGTATATGAATAATATTAATAAGATTAGATTTTATCAACAAAACTTGATCCTCGAGATCTATTTGTTTAAATTCAGGTATACGTTTATAAAATTCAATTAACGAAGTATGTATTGTACTTTCTCCATCAATAAATTCCCAAAAAGGTGTAGATCTTGTATATTTATTGAAACGAAATGCATCACCTGGAGCAGCCGATAATTGATAAGCATTCGTAATATTGTTTAATAAATTATGATCTTCATCACATAAATTTCGATTAAATCCAAAATATTTTCCATTAAATATCTACAATAAGACCAAAACTATAATTATTATTATTATATCAAAATTTATATTTACTGGATTAACAACAGGTACTACTTGTTTCATCATTAGACGTTTTTTCTTTCGTACAACTATTGGAAGATTTAAAATTGGTTGTAAATCACGTTTTACTCTATTGTATTTTCTTTCTTCTTTAATTAATTTTTGTAATTGTCTTAGTTTTGTTTCTTCTTCCGTACGAATCCAATCTTTACGCATTTTAATATCAAAACATTTTTTTAATCGACAATAGGTACATTGACGACGTGTTTGAATATTGATAACACATGCACTAGCAAAACGACATTTTAAATCAGCCTAAAATAAATAATAAACATGATTTTAAAATATATCGTCCATACTTAATACAAAAAGAAAAGGTCATTATGATCGTATAACTTTCAATAAAAATACGCGTTTTTTTCTTCTTCAGAAGGACTTATTCTATCTATTACGCTTTTAATGAATTAAGATCGTTTACTATATTCTATAAATAGTCCTTAATGTGATAATTTCATCAAGGTCTATTGTATATCATCATACGAGAGAATGGAAAATATAGTTATAAATGAAGGTAACTCATTACCATATTTCGTAGGGCATTTCGACGAAAAAAAGCTTTGCATGATTCACAAGTGATTTGGTCAAAATTATAGCCATTTGCTGGAGCACCACAAACACCACAAATTAAATTAGATTGAAAACATTCAGCTTCTGACATGTCTGTTGATGATACTTGTAATTCTTCTAAGTGAGACTAAATTAGAAAGTGTGATAAATTTATAATAATATTGAATTTAATAATAATTACTGGGGAGGATAATATTGATTGAGTATTCGATATAATTTGTTGATCATAATTATCAGGATCTATAAGATCAAATGATGAAAATAAATCATTATAATCAACCGATTCATCAGACGAAAGATTAGTCCAAATTAAATTATTTGGTATCATAGTCGACATTGCTGTCATCATCTACAATTAATAAATATTTTTTTATAGTTATGTCACATTTTTTTCTTCATAATACGTTGGAATATCTTGGTGTTAGTCTTAAAATAGATGTGTTTTTTTGTTTATGACTAATCGGACGTGGTGAAATAAAAGATTCAAAGAAAATAGCAACTCACTTTAAGAAAAACCCACGATTTTCTTATATTTTAATGTTATGTTAAATATAATACACAATGTGCGCCAATAGTAAGTTTGTTTTTTCTATAATGTAAATTATTTGAGTGACAGTGCCAGTAAAAATTACATTTTCTTTTTCTCCATTTTTTCTATAGAGATGAAAATATATTGTTTTTCACTTTTGCGTTCTTATATTTATGAGTAGATGAATAAAACATCACATAGAACAAGAAGGAAAAAAAGAAAAATAGTGAGAGGTTCTCCAGTGTGTGACGATGCGTCATAGGAAATCACAAACCCATATAAAAATATCATGTCTACTAGAATAAGAAGAAAAATAGTGCAGCTGTATTTTGTTATAAAAGTCGTATAAATTCAACGAAAGATTACTCATTCGTTAATATTATTGAGAAGATATTATTTTAGTGTTTACCAGTTAAAATCGTAGTAAAAAAATATATATGTATGATCAAGTTAAATAATGATGACTAATTACCATGCACCATGCGATATTTATAAATACTATATGATGGTTAGAAACGAACTATACAGTAGTAAAATATTTCGATTTCGAATAACAATATACCAGTTATTCTACTAAACATATTAATGTATAGTTAGAAAATATTTAAGACTTATAATTTTCTCTGCATCACCAAATTGAAATCCATTCATCCAAAAAATAGGACAGGTAATGTTGGTAATATTCAGTACAATTCATTTTTTATTCTGTATATTCCTTCAATATATTCATCGATATATGTGCAGTTTGAATCCTATTGATTGAGATGTTTCATGAATGGTTTATATGACACAAAGGTATCGGTACGTAATAGTTTGAAATTAAAATTATTTTCTATGGGTTTCACAGTAGCTGACACAGTTTCTCTTATCAAGTAAAAGGTATGTAACTTGAGCCTTTTGACTCCAGATTTTGATTATAAATAGAACCTGATAAATTCTAATCATTATCACTAATTTAAGATCGATCGAGCTTAACACTTTTCTCATTCTCTATTATTGATAGCACATAACCAAGGGGGAAAAGCGATATCTAAGAACTACCCTGCACTGGTAAAAAATTGCTAGGACCCATCATAGTCATAGAGCGGCAGTTAATAATGAGTTCGTAAATAATCTATGAGAAAAATTTGACAGTGCTCTTTTCCTGTAGTCTAATCTAATTTCTAACGGTTGATTATTGCTCTCACAATAGCCTTAATACAGACGGAAACAGCATTATTTTCTGCGATTTGGAAATTCTCATATATTCTAATGAACTTCGATACAAACCAAAAAGAGTTACTCTAAAGCTCACTAGAAACTATAGAATCTACTTTTCCTCCTTACACATAACGCGGAAACCATTTACTGAAGAAAATATCAATGTAAATGGTAAATTTTTTTATAAATTAGTCAAATTGAAATTATTCTATGCGCTATTTCTATGTGTGATGATAGCTGAACGGATGCGAGATTTATTTCTTCTATTGATATATTATTATTAGAAGAACAAATTCTACATTGTTTTACTAACATTATTATCTAGGAGTCACTCAAATCCTATTAAGCTCTTGCGGTCAAAGTTCATATATGAAACTACATGATTCAAATATCACCATATTCTGGCTGATAGGTGACATTTTACTGCCTAGTTTAAGATTATCAGCTTTACTATTCTCGTTTGATATAAGTGTACTAAGAAAAAAACGCCCAATTGTCTATTCGATGTATAGAAAAAGTAATAAATTTTATTGAGAGAATTCCTGAACTACCTACATCCTCGACTTAAACTTAGAAAATAGAATCTTAATTGAAAAGATCTTTTCACAACCCAAAAAATAATAAAAACAAAAGATCTCGCTTTTACGTATTGTTTATTTTACAATATAGATAGAAACAAATATCTGTTAAAGTGTATTGATACAATAAAACAACTTAGCCTTTTCTTTTGACCATTTGAAAAAGTCAAATCATTTTACAATAATTTGCCAAAGACTTTTTTCCCTGTTCATAATACAACTGACTAATTATTCAAGCATATATACATGTTTTTTTAAGCTCTAACTATTCTCCAATAATCACAATTAATTTTGAAAACTATTGCTTAATCCACCGAGTAGATGTTATGAAACATTCATTCATTAACTAACTCTAAAGATAGATTCCATTAACGAATGTATTTTTTCATATTTTGATGTTTGTCGTACACGATCTTCAATAGTAAGCATTAACACTTGATAACGTAGGATTTGTGTCACGATTATTTCCATGGCTTTTATCACTTCTTTTTCTTCGAATAAATGATTTAAATAACGCCAAAGTAACATTATATAATAATTTTGACATTCATATAATTTTTTTATATTTTTATATCCACTACATTGATTAATACTACATGGAGCTGATAAATTAACACTGAACATAAAAACAATTAATATTAATTTTAATAATAATGGGTGTTTCATAAAACGATAAAAATAACAACGTGTTCGATACATTTGATTATGAAAATCGGCATTGATCCACTTTGACATATGTTCACCAATACAAGGAAAATCTTCAAAGTTTTGTATTACTATATAATGTAGATGTATAAGTTTAACAATATTCGATTTTATTAATAAAACTTGATCATCGATATCTAATTGCTTAAATTCAGGTATGCCTTTATAATAATAAATTAATGAACTATATACAACATTTTCATCGTTAATAAATTGTGAAAAAGGTGTAAATCTTGTGTATGTCTTAATATGTGAATAATCAGCATAATCAGCTCCTGAATGATAAGCATTAGTAATATTATTTAATAAAGTTTGATCTTCATAACATAAATTTCGATTACAACTAAAATATTTTCCATTAAATATCTATAATAAGATCAAAACTATAATCATCATAACATCAAAATGTATACTTACTGGATTAACAAGAGGCGCTTGTTTCCACATTAGACGTTTTTTCTTTCGTACAACTAATGGAAGATTCATAACTGGTTGTAAATCATATTTTACTTTATTTAATTTCATTTCCTCTCTGATTATTTTTTGTAATTGTCTTATTTTTGTTTCTTCTTCCGTACGAATCCAATCTTTACGCATTTTAATATCAAAACATTTTTTTAATCGACAATAGGTACATTGACGACGTGTTTTAACATTGATAACGCATGTACCAGAATACCGACATTTTACCTCAGTCTAAAATAAAACATTAAAACAAGTATTAAATAATTAGTTTCTAATGATTCTATATGTATTGAACATCTTTATGCAATCAACTATTGAAAATCTCTTAGTGTTATTAAAACATAATTATAGCTGTTTAAACGATTGTATAGCTATTCAAAAAAAACCATTCACCTATCAATTTATTTCAATGGTTATTTTATAAGTGATATAATGACGTTCAATAAGCAAGTAATCAAAAGTTTATTAAAGGACAAGTGGCGTTAAGACCACTTTCTCGCCCAAACTGGTTAGGATAAAAACTATATGATTAGAATCAGCATTAAATTCTAAACAAAACTGTACATTTTTTCTCAATTTTTTGCCGTGGTACCCTTGAAAAAAACAAAAAAAAAGTTTTTTTTTGTTTTTCACTCTGATTTCATTTAGATATAGATTATCGATCATGCTGATCACGAATTTCAGGTTTATATTGAATAAAAAAGTGGTTTAAATGAACAATGGTCTATTTTAATAAAAAATATTCTTTTGACCTTAGTTTTGAAATCACTGTCTTCCGACCCTAAAAATTAGTTTATAATACTAATAACACTTTATATATATCTAGAATCAATTGTTCCATCAATTCCAAACAGATTGAGGGCTTAACAGGTATATAGTTTCAGTTTGTTTTTCGACAGAAGTCGTATTGCTAGATGCAGTTTTGAATGCTGATTCTAACCATATAGTTTTTTCCCATACGGTTTGGGCGAGAAAGTGATTTTAACGCCACATGTTCTTTACTATCAGAATTCTTTTTAACTTGATTAAATAAGATATTTGAAAAAATAAATTAATTTGCATCGTGATTAGAATATTTGTACTGATTGACCGTGATAGTAAATATTGTAACTGAGAGGATTATCGTTCGGTTGGTGATATTCTGGCTCAATCCTTTACTCTTCTATTTCTATGCTCAAATAGATTTGATCTCGAGTTAACTCATCATCCCATACTTAATAATTATTGTTCCATCTTATTTTAAGTACTTAAAAATTATTACCATATTTCGTAAGGCATTTCGACGAAAAAATGCTTTGCATGATTCACAAGTAATTTGATCGAAATTATAGCCAATTGCTGGACCACCACAAACACGACAGATCATATTAGATGTAAGAGCTTGTGTTGGTAATATTTGTACTTGATATGGGTCATTCTATTAATAAAAATGATTCATATTATATGAAATAGTCAATATTATTTGATTTTATTTACCTCATATGACGAATCTATTTCGTTTAAGATCACATCATTATTTAGATTCAAATCATCTTTATTTTCGTCATCAGAAATAAAATCAACAACTGATGAAAATAAATCCTCAAAATCAGATGACAGTATTGTATTACAATATTGACTATTCGACAGCATCAATATACACGTGCCGTTATTACTGTCTATAATAATTAAATTTTAATAAAAACAAAAATATCATCAACTATAAAACTTCTTATAATTTAATTTCTCAATAAAATTGACATCATAACAGTTTTTGTTTATTTGATTATCACCTTATATACATGGCCTAGTTATGTTGTAGCGATAAAAATAAATAAATACCTTGTTTTTTATAGTCAACCTTGTTTCCTCATTCGTAAGTTTTGTAATAGATTTCGAATACATAACAAAAACAAAAAACATCAACTTACGAATAAATCAATGGTAGTTTCGTTATTTGGACTTAGTCGTTAGATTACTACTACCATATACAGCTATTGTCGTTCGTTGTTTTTTTCTAGTTCTATGTAAATTACTGAATTTCAATAGAAAAAAAATATATGTGAAAAAAAAAGGCAAATATGCGTTTTTTTTTCTTCCTATCCTGTAGGTTGTGTAGGCGATATGTACGCGACAGAAGCTGTCGTTCGCTATTTCGGTACAAAGGTAAAAGTATCCATCAAATGACGAACAGAATAATAAAAAAAAGCAAGTTTTAAAGATATGATGTATCTCATCATTAGAAGAAAAAAAATGTCATACATGATAGATCGTATTGATTGAAGTACATGATCAATATTTATAAAAAAAAAGAAATGAGTTAAATTTAAAACATAAAAATAATACTTTATTGATTTTAGCCTCCTATAATATTAACCATAATAAATATTCTTTTTTTCGTACGCTAAGTGCATATTTAATGTTGATTTAAACCGAAATGGGTTTCATGATTTCTGATTGTGTTTTATTGTACCAAAGAGAAGAATGTATTTTTATGGCGTTAATAGAACACTAAAAAAAAAGAAGATGTTTTGTCAGATGTGTACTTTAGGGTAATTATAAAAAAAATGCAACAGCTTGTCAATTTACCACGTATCTGGTTTTTAATAATAAAATAATCTCTTGGGTTAAGACAAGCATTTGTGTGAGAATAACACACTCTTTGAATACGCATATTTAAAGTAAATCCATGCAACTTGATGTTTTCTTTTGACAAGCAAGTTTTTTTTATGATAATTTGACAGGATATCATCAGATTTGTGTTTTTTAATTAAAAAGGAAGACATATTTATACATTATTAAAATATATTAATTTATTTTTCTACATCTGTTACATATTAAAAATTAATTTATAGTACAGATTACCATACTTGATTTTGCTATTATCGTAATGAGAAAACCAAATTCCTTAAAGATTTTCCAAATATGTATTATATCAAGATTTGGAATTCTATTCATTTCTGAAATTCTTTCCACAGAGAAAAGCTTAACGACATATTAATACTATTGGCATGATTCACAAGAATGAATTTAATTACTTCAATCACGATAGATATTAGAACGAATATAATTCATCTAATTTTTGTCCTTCATTTGTTTATATTTACGTAATACATATTTTATTATTTTTAACATTGTCAAGACTGACATCTGTAATCATTGATTTTCATACGTATTTTCTACGTCCAAACTAAATCAATATGTTCGTTTAACATATATAGTATGTATTTTCTGTACTCTATTGAGCTATTCTCAATATAAATTGATAATGTTATCATTCCCTGTGTCTTTTTCATCACCCATTGTAATTAGTGTTAGTATTTTGACAGCTATAAGTGTTTATATTCTATTTGGACCTGAACCAAAAGATCGACGAAAACGTGGTTTGTTTTATTTTATTTAAATAGTATCTATTATACAAAAAAAAATTAGGTTATCCTGGTGGATTAGTCAATTATGGAAATAATTGTTTTGCTAATGCTATTGTTCAATGTTTAGCTTCATCATCGATATTTATTCGATGGATTGATGAACATCTTCAAAATAATACCGTTGCAAAAATTCTTCTTGATCTTATTCAATCAATAAATGGTGAAAGAATATCTTATTCACAAGATTCAACTGTTGCTACATTAATTGATCATATGCGACAACCAAAATGGTTAAGTCCATTTGAACAACAAGATAGTCATGAATTTCTTTTATCACTTATTAATTCTTTAACATATAAACAATCAATACAATCAAAACATTTAGGTTTTGCTTCTTGTCTTGATTGTTCAGATGAACAAGATAATTCAAAATCAATGATGATAACTGAAAGTCCATTAATAACACCACATCCATTTCAAGGTTTACAAGCAACACAATTACAATGTACGGAATGTAAACAGAAAGTAAATATAATTCATAAAAAAATTATTTCTTTTAGTTTTAAGTATTTCCGTTTTTTTTAAGAATCCAATAAGTGTTTCTCTTTTTGAAACACTTTCATTAATTATTCCCGAACGACAAGTATCAAATTCAGGGGTAGGACTTATAATGATAGAATACAATTATTATACATTTGTAATTCATAGACATTGGGAATTCGACAACAACGAAATTTTACATTACAAGAATTAATTGGTAATTATCTTAAATCCGAAATGATAACGAATTTAACATGTAGTAAATGTAAATCAAAAGGAAATTTACCACATAGAAAAATAACAACTTTTTCAAGAGTAAATTATTTATATTTTTGTTAAGTTCTAATTGTATATTCTTCTCGTTTTTCAGTTACCAGAAATTCTTTGTTTACATATTATTCGTACAACATGGACAAACGAAGGTTGGCCAACAAAAAATACATGTCATATATCATTTCCTGATCTGCTTGATATGAATCCATTTATTTCTTTATCACGTCTTTTACCTGCTAATATACCTCCGAGTCAAACAAATAAAAAACCGTCCAATGCTATGTATCGACTTAATTCTGTACTTGTACATTTAGGTGGTATTAGTGAAGCTGGACATTTTATTGTCTATCGACGACAAGTAGATAAAAATGAATGGCTTTCAATATCAGACGATACTATAAGAGAATGTAGTGAACTTCAAGTATTCGCTTCAATGGCATATATTTTGTTTTACGAAAGAATAAAAAAATAACTGATTTTTGCATTTTTTTTAAAAAAATTAATAGGAAAAAAAATTGATAATAAAAAAGAACAATTTATAGGCTCATATTTTATTTCTTCTGCTGAAGACGTCGACAATTAATATTCAAATAGCTTATTGCTATTTCTTTTTAATTGATTGTCTGTAAACTAGATCAGTTAATTCTGAGTCCGGCATTGTAATATGGATTCTATTTTAAAAACAATTCGAAAGATAAAATCCATCTGTATTAATTCTCATGAATTATTTTTTCTTGAAATATTTCTATGATATTCACACAATCATCTTCAATGTCGACCGTAGCTATGAATTGGATTTATTTATTATTGATTGTTTTTATATCAGTTGTTGATAGTCGTCTAGGTAGTTTTAATGCCGGTGTTAATGGTGGTGGAGATTGTGCGACATGTACAATTGTATTAGGTCTTGTTGATCATCTTACAATTGTTTATAATGATACTGCTGCTCATGCACTCGAACGACTTTGCACATTTTTACCAGGTGAATTTAAAACCTATTGTAAAGCTGCAGTAGATTTTTTAGGTAAGTCTATTTATTTATTGTTTGAATTGAATAGATTTAAATAATATATACATTTAGGACCACTTATAATCGATGGTTTTATTAAAGGAGATAATCCTGATGTTATTTGTCATGCATTAAAATTTTGTCATGATGATGCAGGTCAAGGCAAATGTCGTATTTATCCATCAAAATCATCTCTTTCAGTACCACAACGTGCTTTAAATCTTCTTCAACGACATCCAAGAATAAATTTATTTCTAACGAAATCAAAAATTTGTGAAATTCCTGGTATTAAAGAAATCTGCCGAATAATTGAAAATGTTTTTAATAATCATCTGCCAATGCTTGATCTTGATCAAGATCATTTTGGTACTGAAACAACATTACGTGGTAGTTCATGGCGAGGAAAAGATTGTAATGATTTATCATCACAAATTCATCCAGGTGCTCATACTATTCAAAGTGATAGTGTGATTGATCATAATTGTAATGGAATATTTGGTATGAATTCAGCAACAGGAAGACCATGGGAAGACGAGTTTTGTAATGAAACACAACGTATGGGTATAGCTGTATTAGGCGATTCTTTATCTGCTCATTTTCATATTCCGGAACAATGGTTAGATGCAAGTCAATTTTCACCTGAAGCATTCGAACATTTAGGATTTATTCTTGAAAATGAACTTGATTGGCCTCAACTATCAGCAAGTACGGGTCATGTTAATGTTAGCTGGCCTAATATTATCGGTAAGTAAGATTTTCTATATTCTATTTTTAACACAAATATATATCGATGTTTACATAGGTCCAACACGATCACTTTATGCTCGTCTATTTGATCTTGATCATTGTAATCATCGAGATTATCAAAATATTGCTGTCAATGGTGCTCGTAGTAGTAGTATGACTAATATTATGAAAACATTATCACGTCATCAAAAGAATGATGTACCACTTCTTGTTATTTATTCATTAGTTGGCAATGATGTTTGTAATGGTCATCCAGATACTATTGATCATATGACAACAGTAGAACAAATGCATAAAAATGTTATAACTACACTTACTTATCTTGATACAGTATTACCTAGCGGTAGTCATGTAGTAACTACTGGTTTAGGTAATGGTAGTATGTTATATGATCTTTTACATGATCGTTTACATCCATTTGGTCGTATTGGTCCACCAATTACTTATCCTCAAATGTATGATTATTTATCATGTTTACAAATTTCACCATGTAATGGATGGTTGACATCAAATGATACACTTCGTGCATTGACTACTGATCGAGCAGTAGAATTATCTGCAGCAGTACGAAATGCTACATTTTCTTTTGAATCTAAGCATTTTGATGTTGATTATCTTGATTTTCCATTTGATCAAGCTATTCAAGAATGGGAAGCTCAAGGTGGTCAACCATGGCAATTAATTGAAAGTATTGATGGTTTTCATATTAATCA